AAAGAGTCTGTCAACGCTCCACCGAAATTCGTGGGTTTTTTCTGGGTACTCTGGTTTCCTCCCACATGGAATGTTGACATGGTGGGTTGGGAATAGCCCAAACTAACCCTTGGTCGTAGCTGTGCTCTGTGATGTGCAAGAGTCATATGATGACGCCCTTCGTCTCGATCACGTTGAGCTGCGTCCTTCGTAGTTCAGGTCATCTGTAAGTGAGGATAATAGCAACCCCCCACTTAAGTATTGGTGTTGTTTGTGTTTCAGGAACGTTACATCCTGGCGATGAAATTCGAGAGTTAGATGGAGAAAGTGTGGAGAATAAATCAATCGAATCCTTACAGTCTATTTTGGTAATCATGCGCTTCGTCTTGCTTTTTTCTAAAACATATTCTATATAGCCGTGTTTACACTAATGACTGACATTTACCCAAGACTTATCTGTATGTGGAAAGTATCTCACTGAGGCCTGACACATATAGCTACGGACCCGAATATTGCAAATTGCACCATTCTATGTGCATGCAAAATGAAGTAAAAATCATCTCTTTCTCTGAATACTGATTTTACTGACTTGAATTTTAACTATATTGTCATTAGGGATGCATCAACCGGATAGCGGTATCCGATATCCAGTAAAATCTAGACATCCGAATGTATCCGGTAACATTTAGTTTGTATTTACCAGATAGTACTGGAACTTTTATTAGAACAATGAAACGGGACTTATTTCGGCTATTATGATGTTTCTAAATATTTAATTAACGAACTTTCTCTTAGCCTCATTTTATTAATAGACATCTTGTGTTTTTAAACCAAGAACAATGCCTTAACATCTATTTAATAACAACGACGTTTCGAAGTTTAGATAATACAATAAACTCCGAAACATTAAATAAATGTTAACCCTTGTTCTTGATTGTTAAAAACACAGAAAGGCTGTTATGATGTTGTTATTTTTATGAATTAAATTTTCTAAAACTTCATGGAGTCACCTTAAATTAAACCTAGCGTTATAGAATGGACTATATGTCTTGTCTTTGATATTGTATTTTTTTGTATTGTTCTTCAAATATAGAAACAAGCTAGTGGCACTGTAACGTTTAAAATCGTCCCAAGTTTCAGACACGAAAATACAGAACGAGGGGTAAATTTTAACTTGTTTTATAACGTTGTATAGTACAGTTTATAATCCCCAACAAATAAATGCACTTTTCAAATATTGCCAAGATTTATAAACTATAGAAAGATGTGATATCATTGGTCCTCGAAACATAGATAGAATTTGAGTCTTGTCATTCCCATCATGCAACATATATTTTCCTTGTTCGCAATTGTTATTTCGAAACAATCCTTGGGAATTTTGCATACTACCCATATTAGAAATCATAAGGAATTTTGCATACTACCCATATTAGAAATCATAAGGAATTTTGCATATTACCCATATTAGAAATCATAAGGAATTTTGCATACTACCCATATTAGAAATCGTAAGGAATTTTGCATATTACCCATATTAGAAATCATAAGGAGTTTTGCATACTACCCATATTAGAAATCATAAGGAATTTTGCATACTACCCATATTAGAAATCATAAGGAATTTTGCATACTACCCATATTAGAAATCATAAGGAATTTTGCATATTACCCATATTAGAAATCATAAGGAATTTTGCATACTACCCATATTAGAAATCATAAGGAATTTTGCATACTACACATATTAGAAATCTGCTGCTTTCTATTGAAGCAATTCTACTATTACCAGGGTACTATTAAATCTAAAATTGTATTTGATATCTTTCTATAGAGTTTCGTAAAAGCGTTATTTTCTTACGATCCAAGAGGTGATGAACTTATCCCATGTCAACAAGCAGGCTTGGCGTTCCAGGTTGGCGATGTATTGGAGATAGTTTCAAAAACAGACTTCAACTGGTGGCAGGTAAGGAAACAGACCACATCGTCGTGTCAACTGCGCATCCAAATGGCGTGTTTTGAGCTACTAACATAAAATTACATGATCATTATAATCATATGTGCGTCTAATGTCATTTAAATCAAATTTTGATCACATTGATCCAATTTTTCGGGTCTAGCTATTTTGCGGGCCGCGGGCTGCGGGTCAATTTTTGCGGGCTGCGGGTCAATTTTTGCGGGCTGCGGGTCAATTTTTGCGGGCTGCGGGTCAGTTTTTGCGGGCCGCGGGCCAAATTGCTGGCCTAACTAATTTTTTTTGTTGCATGCCATATATGGCATGCAACTTTCATATAGCTCTAAATTTCGTGTCGCGGTGAGCGTACCAGTCACATGGAAATTCGTAAAATACGACAACTACCGAGTTTTTCCGACGAGCAATTCATCACTCATGCTCGAGGAAAGGGAAAGAAAAATGTTTGAGTGTTCGCGGAAAATTTACATAATTTTAAATTGAGCGCCTTAGAAAAATAGATCAAGGTAGGTAAAGCTTTGCTGGTTTTAATTTTCCTTATATTCTGTTATTTGTTTTGATTCTGGAGCAGTTGTGCTTGCAATGAATGATTATTTATCAGTCGTTTTTAATATTTAATATATCAAAGTGACTATATGACCGGCAGCCGTTCACGGTTTATCAAATACTAAATGGCCGGCAGTCTAGTGACTATAGTTGAATATAAAAACTTTTGTTTGCATTAACTTTTACCGAGCTTGCCGTTAGCTCATACGGCAAGGGCGCTGTGTGCGGAAAGTTAAACGCAGTCGGGGTCGGGATGTGTTTTGTCTGACTTAGCATTGTTTTTTCTTAAAATTTTTTAAACTTTTTTTCCGACTTTTCTAACTCACAAAAGGTTAGGGTTAGGGGTTAGGGTTAGAAAAGGGTTTGGGGTTGGGGATAGGTTTATCTTATAAAAATTCAACTT